CCAAGAAATTTGCATGTGTGTGGAGTCCCATGGCTGCTTCAGAAGGAAAGCAGAAGTCAAAGCTCATGTGAGCCACTCAGTTCTCACTGCTTCTTGACAAGCAAAGTAGACTGGATAATCAAAGGAAGAAACCCTGTGCTCCCTGTGTGCATCTTAATAATCACAATTACAGAAACCAGTTGAATACAAGCCTCAAAGGAGAAGGGAGAGGAGAGGCAGAAATTAAGGAGGAGAAGAAGGAGGAAGAGGGGAAGAGGCCAAGAACAAGAATGACCAGGACATAGAAAGGCCCAGATTTATCATGTAGTCTCACTTTCTCCCTTTAAACATTGAGAAAGACAGGCCATTCAGTGCCTGGCATAAGACAGTCATCCTCTCAGACCATGATGCTGGTCCCATTGCTTTATTATTTCTCAATTAGCAAGAATTAAAAATGGACTGTTGCCACTTTAGAAGCCAGCATGTGCGTGTATGGAACGACACAACTGGTTTGCAGCCTAACAAGCAAGCCCTAGAGTCTTTGCATGTGACATTTATCCTTTGAGTTTGTTTGCTAGTACAGCCGACAAGTTGTAAATGAACTGGTGGCCCTGGTGGGTATCTATCGCAGCACACCAGCTCTGTGCTGTTAAAATAACGTATGCGCCTCTATTTTAACAACAGTGTATCTTATTAAGGAGACTCAGTGAGCAATTTAGTAGAGGACATTCCTGATGTTGCAGAGCGAACTTTTTGGTACCAAAAAAGAGTGTGTGAAATCGGTGTCATGATGCAATAGCTCTTCCTGCAGCCCAAAGAAACAGCTTAAAAGCACTTTCAAAGAGAGTTAATATTTCTGGCTTGTATGCATCACTGGCTGCACAAGGTGATTTTACTGTGCATTATACTTTAATTATAACTGCGCCATAGCCATCTGCTCTACTCCATTCCCTAATTATAGATGCAAAAAGCATTTCACAACTCCCACCTATAAAAAAGATCTGAGGGATTTCATGGCAGGCTTGCTCTGAGCACCTCCCGCCTCTTTTGGCCTGTGGATATTCCCTTCAACGGTACATCTAGTGATCCCAGCCTAAGACCTGAGGTGTCGGAACTATTTTCATCCATTGGACATTTTCTTCTTCCTTTACTGTGTACATGTCAGACAGCCTTTCCTGTGCAGCGGTCAAAGGCAACATCCTGTTCACAGTTACCTTTCTGCGTGCGTTGTTCCCACCATTTTAAAGCTAGTTCTTCTATTTACTGTACCATCACTTTAAGCATCTCTCCAGCTCCCGAGAGTTTTGTTTCCTGTGTTGTCAGTGGTGAGAAGAGAGTCTGAGAGTTTCCTAGTTTACTTTGAGGTGAAACAGTTGGTAGACTTGAAGGTGTCACTGTAGGCTTAGGTCCATAATCCCACCACCTTAGTTGCCCTGCACCTAAATAGAAATTAGGTTAACAAAAATTGGCAAAGGAAAATGTGTTTATTTGTGGTTAGGCCGAACTAGGGGAACAGCCTAATTTCCATGCTTTGCTTATGGCTGTCTTATAATTTATAGAAAGCAAGGAGACAACGGCTGGAGCACATGAATATTTGGCTATAGGACCAGTCCTTTCCTGGGACAAAGGGGATCTGGGCCTACTCTTTTGATAGAGACATTTGTTTTTTTGTTCAAGTCCCACACTAGGAAAATGGAGTTGTTAAAGACCACCCCCCACCACTGTTGAAAGAGAAAAGAAATTGTGAAATGTAAGATTCCCACCTATTCCTGGTCTGGCAGAGTTCTCTGTCTCTAAAGCCATTCCTCTAACAGGTGTAGAGTGGAAAGCCCATTGTAGTTTTCTTTGGAAATCAGCTTTAGTTCAGATGCCTAACATGCTCATTAAATACGTTAGTTTTATGAGTGAAATCATGACTGAGATGGGGCACAAATGTGCCTCTCTCAGGACTTCAGCTTGAGTGCATGGACAGAAAGCTACATCTGCAGGCACTGAGTCTCACTTCCCCATAGTTCCTGTTTCCACCCCTCATCAGAAATCCCCTCTTGGGCGCCAGAGCTATAACTGGGGCAGTTCACACCTTTTCGCATGAATAGCTCTCTACTACTCCACGCCCTGTGACATGTGTGTTAGAGGGAATTAGACCATGATGGGACTATGAAAGAGAGATACAGAACAATTGCAAGTTCTCCTTCTTTCCCTGCAGTGAACCTGCTCATCATGTACACAATGCCACTGAAGCAGGGATCAAATAAATATTTGGGGCAGGATGATCCTTCACTTCTGACCTTGCACAACAAGAATTTTGAATACAGCCGGGCGGTGGTGGCGCACACCTTTAATCCCAGCACTCGGGAGGCAGAGGCAGGCGGATCTCTGTGAGTTTGAGGCCAGACTGGACTACCAAGTGAGTTCCTGGAAAGGCATAAAGCTACACAAGAGAAACCCTGTCTCAGAAAAAAAAAAAAATGAATACAATTCACAGAAGGAAAAACAGAATTAGTCAACTAAAATAGGTTGTTCTAGCAACATTCTGAAGATCAGGTGTTAACCCTAAACCTTAACCTTCTCCAACTGGTAAATTCAGCATCTTCTGATGAGTCGTCTAGCTTGGATATTTTTCCATGGTTTCTAATTCGGACTCTAAATTTCAGAGGTGTGTTTAGGGAAGCTGAGGGTCATTTACTGTAGTCCCAAAGCAGGACACTGGAGGAGGACAAGCAGTTTGGGACATATAATTCTAGCATGTGAATTGAATGCCTTTTTGGAAGATACATCTGGACATTCTGAAGACTAGGTAAATACATGGGGACTTTCCCATAGGGCTAAAAAGGGTAAGACTATATACTTTGAAGTTTCATTTCCTCCAAATTCTTGAACTTTCTATTAAATACAAAATCTAGCTATTCATAAGATTACTGTTCAAGAACAACAACCAAGTCTTTAAAATAAGATACTCAATTTGGACCACAGGAAGTCATAGGGCATCAACCGTAATAACAAAAGTAAACAGTGACTTTCTAGGCAGAAAATGAAGGACAAGCTTGTCATTAAAAATATCCAATGAAAGTATCAGTTCACAAGGTGAGAGGAACAAGACCCCCTAAATTCCACCACATGTTAGACTGATTGGAGATTCAGTTAGACTCCCTGTACAGCAAAGACAGCTGCTTCAGATGGTATGTTTGATTCCTAACGTACATTCAAGTGTGTATGTGTGCTGATCTCAAAGTTTTATTTGTGGTGGTCTCAGAAGTATCAAAGTGGATAAGTGGTAACATGAAATTACCAGATTCTACAGATATCTTGTTGCCTCTTATTGAGTCTGCCTTTAGAAATACCCTAAAACCTAATTTATTCATTAGTTCATTAACATGTGTTTGGGAGCTTTAACAGTCCTAGATCTAACATTGGCCAGATCACCTAAAACAATATAGAGAGGCATGCATTGCCGTAATGACATGGATTTGACAGTGAACTGCCTGCATGACTCCATGCTGTGTGCTTGCTGTCAGACCCCAGGAGACCTTTTTAATTCCCCCCCCCCATAAAGTGATAGGTTTGATTTTCAAATAGGCTCTTCCAACTCAGCATAAACAGATTGCAGTTCTCTCTCCAACCTGCTCAGTAAGGTTTTTTGAAGAGCCGAGTATTCATTTTTGAGTAGGAAAAAAAAAGGTGTAATGACAACAGAAAAGACCCGGGCATAGTATAAATGTCCTTGAACTGGAGCTGTGAAGGCGGTTTCGTCGCTAAGGGCACTTGCTATACACTCATAAGGAACTGAGTTTGGGCGTGTAGTACCCTTTCGAAAGGCCAGGAAAGAACAGGCAGCGCTCTTATAAACCCAGCCTTAAGCAATGTGTGTCTAATCTGTGAGAAGCCAGTGGGCACTGGGTGACCAATTGGCCTGACTGAGAAAATGTCAAGTTCTGGGTGCAGTGAGAAGAACTTTTCTAACTTTCTCAAGGGAATAAGGCAGAGTGATAGAGTAAAATATCAGATGTCCTCTTTCACGTGCACTCAGGTATAAAGACACACACACACACACACACACACACACACACACACACACAC